AAGGAGCTGTTTTGTATGACTGTTCGAGTGTTGTCATTGTGTTAGAGAGCATAAATGTCATGAATAAATTTGACATTAAACATACCGGTAATCCAAGTTGAAGTGTTACATCATTTTCAACCTCCTTTTTGTCATCTGCATTTGGTAGCAGACCAAACTGACAAAGACCATGCAGAATAATGTAGTATTTTAATTCCACAACAGAGAAAGCTATGTAGTCTCTGTAAGTAGGTCTAAAAATCCAATATCGTGCATCCCTAGTTTTAAAGTTTTAACCAGTTATTGTTTTGGAGTAAAATGCTTCACATTGTAATTTCTAACATACTGCACTGCCCTCTGCTGTCCATCTTTGTCCTGTCTGTCTGTTGAAGCTGTCTGTATTTTTGTGTCCTGCAGAAACTGTGTACCTATATGTACATTTGGAAAAATAATTTAAAATTTAACCTTCCGTTTGTGACTTGCCATTTTTGTAAATGAAAGAGGTGCACAAAGTGTCACCACCAGTTTGGGTTAATGCAGAACACAGATGATTTTGTGTTAATGTGGTCCTAAACTTGTTTGGAGAGACTTATTGTTTTGTATTTGTTTTGTGTTTATCTGTGTTGTGACTCTACTTCACGTTTTTGTGATTTTTGTGCTTGTACGCTTGTTTTCATGTAGCAAGTCAATAAACAAATGCATTATCATCGACATGCCTGTTGTAGCGCTGTGGTTGATTTATCCTTTCGTTATGCAGTGTTTTTCTTGGATTAACATCATGTTTTTCCTTCCGACACGTTCACAAACCCTAATCTGATCTTTTACAACAGCGTCGGGAGAAATCGTAGGACGGTCTGGACAAAGATGTAAGATCTCCCGCCCTCACAGATCATCTATTTAAACATCCACTTACACTGATGCTTCTATTTTATCTTTAGTCACCAGTTTGTTCATTTTCCATACATGAAGTCTATTTCACTCAATATTCTGTTTCTATTTAACAAACTTACAAATATTTATTGGCAACACATTGTAGTGAAACCACATGAAAAATGGTTTTAGATTATAAAACAAAAAAAATGTATTTAACTGAAACACCTATATGGCAAAGTTTCTCTAATGGGGTTGCATCTTCTCAACATAACAGCAGGCAGCTACAATCTCAAAGTGAAGATGATGATGAAGAGCTGAGCATCCCTGTCAGAGCCTGGCCCAGTCAGTCCAGCCTGCATGGCTCAGATGACATGTGAGCACCGTGCACAAACTGACATGCCACTAAATAACACAAGAAATATTAAATTACACTAATACAGTTCACCGCCTTGTCATTTTATTCTTCACTTTCATTTTCAAGCGTCAAAGAGCGTCCGGGCTCCTCGGCCAGTCAGACCAGCGCGGTGGTCAACGAGCGTCTTCAGGAGCTGGTCAGGATGTTCAAAGAGAGGACGGAGAAGGCCAAGGAGAAACTCATCGACCCGGACAGCTCAGATGAAGAGAGCGTCATCACCTGTGAGTCGGACCTTTTTATTCACTTCTTTCTGTTCACAAACACAGAGCTGGTGTTCAAAACAAAATAAATAAAACCTATAATAGCTTTTATAAATATTAATGTCTGACAACAGATACATATTTATGGCTGCTGTGAAACCAGCCACCTTTAGACAAATACTTGACTTTTCTTTGCGCACAAAAAACTGAAATAGTTACCTGACAGATGCATACAGGTGAGTAGAACCAGATTTCTTCCTTCTTCAGTTCATCAGCAGCTTTGTCCACCTCTTGGGCCACAGAAACATTTGAACAAAGTTCAGTTAAAGGGTCAACATCATGCTTGTTATGTAAATTTGTGTATTATTGAATTAGACCTACAATGTTTAAAGCACTTTTATTGGAAAAAATCCTATGAAATATTTTTTCTTATCAATTTTTAATTAAAATGCTCAATTTTATTTCCTTTGTATTTAAACCACATTGTGATTTGCCTTCTAAATAAGGATTAAGTGAAATGAAATGCTGAAATGGCACAAACAGATAAGTAAATGGATAAGTCAGGGCACCAATGAGCCATTTGGGATTTTTATTTGGGGAAAAATTGTCTTCTTAGTGTGGACTTTTTTTGTTTTTTATAATTTTGCAAACTGTAAATGTGTGGGAAAAAAATATTAGGCACATTAAAGGAAAAGTTCAACTATGAATGATTTGGCTTCAAGTGATTTCTAAATGAAACACCATGATAATGGACCAAGAAAGGATACTACGATAAATAAAATTAGACATGCCTAAAAATTTGCTTGCCAAAGAAAACGTGAATATATTTATTGTGGCACTGTATCACAGTGTGCTTTTCAGAAATGCAGTAGTCCCAAATTAAATTTTAAAGAAAACATTCAGTTTTTCTTAATTTACTTTTGTGCAGAAAAACAACTCTTTTGTTCTCTCCTTAAAAAAAATCTGATATGCGTTTGTTAAACCTCATTTTATTTTAAATCCCTAATTAATTGCTCCTTTCCTTGTTTATTGTTAGCTCCTCTTCAGCCTCCAGCTCCTCAGTCTGCTCCTCAAGCTGCTCCACTGGATAAGGAGGAGCAGGATATGCAAGCATCAGACCGAGGAGGAGGAGTAGACAGTGAGACAGAGAAGGAGGTGTCTGGATGCTGCCCTAAGGTGAAAAGTCCTCGTTGGATACGAGCCTGTAGGCACCTCTGCTTCCCTGCCAGTATCGACCCCTTCACCAGTAAGAACCCACCTGAACGCCCTCGCCACCTTTAGTTCTGTACTGAAGCTGCTTTACTCAAAATCTGACAAATATATTTGTTTAGTTTTTTTAGGACTCAAAGGAATTAAACACATTAAATATTTTGGACGTATTTTCAGGTTTTAATAAAAAAATGTTACTGTTTGTTATGCTTCACCCGTTTCAAATGAAGGATACTTGATTATTTTTCTGTCACTGGTACTTGCTGTGAAAAAGGATTCTGAGGGCCAAACAGTTTTCTGTTGTTACTAAGCTTCAAACCTAGCTGCTTTAGCCTAATAATGCATCTTAGATCTGGCTTATTGTGTGAACGCTTATTAAGCATTCACACTATTGTGATCCTGTTCATATTTATTATTGCTACTTTATCTATTCATTACATTGTTGTTGTTTTTTTGTTGCCAATTTCTGCTTCTTTCAGCCTTACTGGCCACAATTGTCTCTCCACTTTCTTGTAGTAGTTTAAGCTTCTGTTTGCTTTTTTAGCTACTATTCAGCCTTTTTTTGTTGCAAATTTCTGCTTTTTTCAAATAATTTCCACTTTTTTGTGCTCATTTCTGATTTTTTCAGCCTTATTGGGCACAATTGTGCTCTCTCCACTTCCTTCTGGTAATTTAAGCTTCCTTCTGCGGTTTCAGATACTTTTCAGCTAATTTCAACCTTATTTTTAGCTAATTTACAAATGTTTGTGCTCATTTCTGCTTATTTAAACCAAATCAGCAAATATATTCTTCTGCTTTCTTCTGCTAACTTAGGCTAGTTCTTCCATTTCAGCATGTTTTTAAGCTAAGTTCAGCTGTTTTTCAGCAATAAGCATTCACACAGCATTTTTGCAGTTTGATATGCTTTTATTCCCATCATTCAGTTTATGACTGTAATTGCTGAAAGATTCCAGATGTTCACTCCTAACCCTTGTCCTTTTTTCTAAACTTTATTTCTTCCTAATCCATTTGTGTCTCACCTTAATGCATCTTTCTCTTCTCAGACTTGATGTACGTCCTGTGGATGTTCTTGGTGTGTCTTGCCTGGAACTGGAATGTATGGTTCATCCCAGTTCGCTGGGCCTTCCCCTACCAAACCCCAGAAAATATCCACTACTGGCTGTTGACCGACTACCTCTGTGATCTTATCTACATCTTGGATATCTCCGTCTTTCAGCCACGCCTGCAGTTTGTCAGCGGAGGTGACATAGTTGTGAGTAAAACTTGTAATGACACAGATTAGCACTGTAAACACATAATCTACATTACTGAAATTATTTAAGCAAAAACACTGTTGTGTAATGAATAAAAATAATGATAATTCACCTGAATCTTTTTATCAGAGTGACAAAATTGAAATGAGAAAGAACTACATGAAAACCAAACGCTTCAAGGTAAATTAAACTGATTAGATGAAACTTCTTATATCTTTGACTGCATCCTGTCTGTACACGCTGACTGTGGGATTATTTTCCAGTTTGACGTGGCCAGCCTTGTTCCCTTGGAGCTCTTTTATTTCAAAACTGGCGTCAACCCTCTGCTTCGTTTACCGAGGCTGCTGAAGGTGAGACTGTTGTTGCACATTCAACCATCATCATTTAGACCACAAGCGTTCTGGGAACCAGCTCTAAAAATATGAATGCGTATTAAAGGTTGTGAGCCATAAACAAACATGTACCAGTATCCAAAAATGCAACTGTAGTGGATGAAAAGTTGTTTTGTGTCGTTTTTGGATCACATTTAGTTGAGCAGTATAGATTTTTTTTCTAATCACCTCTGAAACTTAAGACTAAACTTTTTTTTTTTAATCCTCACCATCTGCAGATCAACTCCTTCTTTGAGTTTAACGAGCGTCTGGAAGCCATCTTGACCAAAGCTTACATTTACAGGTCAGCTTTACCACCTGTCTTATTCCTCTTCAACTTTTTTTAGGATCCATGATGAATGAAAATGAATTTACACCATTTCCTTTTCATAAAACATCAACACACAGACATTTAAATAATGTTATTATTCAGTTTGTGTAGAAGCATAATTTCCTGTGTTTCAGGGTGATCCGTACCACCACGTATCTTCTCTTCTGTCTTCACTGCAATGCTTGTCTCTACCACTGGGCCTCCACCTACATTGGACTGGGAGCCACCCAGTGGGTCTACAATGGGGATGGGAACGGGTAGGTGCTGCTGTTCTCAGGTTTGGATTAAAGGGGATACTTTTAAAATGACGTAACATAAATTGTATATGGACTTAAAAAAAAGGATTGCTTTTTGTAGCTTGTTGTGTTGAGATCACACAAATCGCCTGCTAGTTGCCTTTTTTTGACTTGTGCGTTACACCTGCGCTGTTTTTCTCTTCATTCAGGTACATTCGATGTTTCTATTTTGCGGTTAAAACTCTGATTACAATCGGAGGTCTGCCGGACCCCACCTCCCTGTTGGAGATCATCTTCCAGCTCATCAACTATTTTGTTGGCGTATTTGCTTTCTCCATCATGATTGGACAGGTAAATAACAAAGTTTATTAAAGCACAGTTAAATCTCCTGTTTTAATCTTATGTCACATTTTATAGTAGCAAAGGAATTCATTTAAACCTGTTATTAAATAAAACATTTGTCTGTCAGATGCGGGATGTGGTCGGCGCAGCCACAGCAGCTCAAACCTACTACCGCACCTGCATGGACAACACAATTAAATACATGACATCCTATCGCATCCCTAAAGATGTCCAGAACCGAGTCAAAACCTGGTACAACTACACCTGGCAGTCACAAGGCATGCTGGGTAAGAAGACACACACTCGTTTTGAAGGTGGACTGTACATGCCTGAACTATCGTTTTAATCGACAATACACAACCACAGTTTAATTTTTATGATTTTTTTAGATTTTTCCATGGAATGCTCAACTCTTGATGGCTTCACATCAGAAATGCCGAAAAATCTCTAAACTTTTGTAAACTTTTCCCAATTATTTTTTTAGTAGATAAACAAATTATATGTCAAAATGTTGGCATTCATGTGTTCTTTCACCAGTGTGTCTCTCGCTGCTGTAGGACTTGTGTTTTTCTCTTAAATCACCCCAGAATGCAGTGAGAGCACAGCCAAGCTTTCAGTTATAAATTCTCTTCAAAACAGGAACTGATCGGCCTTTTTAGCTTATATCGCCTACATAAAACGCAGCAAACATAAAAATTCATATATCTGGCCATTGGAGTCGTCTGCCACTCACAGTTAAATAATTTTTAAGATCTGACTTTTATCTTTTCATAGTAACTATTTGTTTGAGGCTTAATTTGCAGTATGTTTCTGTCTGCCTCTTCTCAGCTTGGACAAAGGTGTGTGGTTACCATGGTGATGAGCTGCTGACAGCTCAACATTTATTTTATTAATAAAAAATATATATTTTTGTTGGCATTTTGTTTTTGTTTTGTTTAGATTATTACAAAGTTGATGTAATTTTGGGCTGTAGCTGCCATTTTTCAGAAATGTTTTAGTACATCTTACTGTTAAACCGAACTTTACTTTCTGCTGTCTGTGCACCAGATGAGCAGGAGCTGCTGACTCAGCTGCCGGATAAAATGCGTCTGGACATCGCTGTGGACGTCAACTACTCCATTGTGAGCAAAGTCCCTCTTTTTCAGGTAATAGGTCTTTAAAATATTTTGAAATTGTTACCACAGTATGGGTGAAAGAGGATGTGTAAAATCATACATAATGCAACACAACCAGTCAAGTTATTTTTCATCTGTATAATGAAATAAACCTGAAGTTAGAAAATCTGTGACTTATTTTTCTGTTTTGTTACTTGACAGGGTTGTGACAGACAGATGATTTTTGACATGCTCAAAAGCCTACGTTCTGTTGTCTACCTGCCTGGTGATTATGTCTGCAAAAAGGTACTCTGTGTTTGTGCAAACACTTCAGATTCAGATCCAGATCAGATTATTATTGCCATTGTCAATGAACATGATTCACAGACTTGCTTCAGCATAAAGGTGCAAATAAAATATAAAAGATAAAAGAAAACATAGGTACACCAATAGAATACAATACTCAGAAAAATGTGCAATTGGAGTAATGCAATTAAAATACCGTGATAAAAGTGACCAAAGCAGCGTTATGAAGTAACATGACTATGAGTGTTCAAGAGTCCCACGGCAGAGGGGAAGCAACTGTTCTTATGGCGGGAGGTTCTGGTCCGAATGGACCGAAGCCTCCTGCCTGGGGGGAGTGGTTTGAAAAGTTCATATGCAGGGTGAGCAGGGTCAGCTGTAATCTGACTGCTCGCCCCACAGTTCTGGAGACGTAGAGGTCATGGATGGGAGGCTACAGCCGATTACCTTCTCAGCAGAGCGCACAATGCACTGCCGTCTGCGTCTGTCCCTGGCAGTGGCCCCGGCGTACCACACTGTGATGGATGAGCAGAGAATGGACTCGATGATGGCTGTCTAGAATTGTACCATCAGCTTGGCTTTCCTCAGCTGTCGCTGGAAGTACATCTTCTGTTGAGCCTTTTTGATGAGGGAATGATGGTCAGCTCCCACTTGAGGTCCTGGGTGATGATGGTGCCGAGAAACCGATAACAGTCCACAGTGATGATGGGGGTATCGTTAAGGGCGAGGGAGGGCAGAGGGGCTGTGGCTTTCCTGAAATCCACAATCGTCTCCACTGTCTTCTGGGCATTAAGCTCCAGGTTGTTGTCGCTGCACCAGGTCACCAGCTGGTCCACCTCCCTCCTGTAGGCAGACTCATCACCATCCGAGATGAGCCCGATGAGGGTGGTGTCGTCCGCAAACTTAATAAGCTTTACGGAGTCATGGCTGGAGATGCAGCAGTTGGTGTACAGGGAGAAGAGCAGAGGGGAAATTACGCAGCCCTGTGGAGATCCTGTGCTTAGAGTCCGAGTGTCCGAGACAACTTTCCCCAGCCGCACTCACTGACTCCGGTCTGTTAGGAAGTCTGTGATCCACCTGCAGGTTGAGTCAGGTACATGGAGCAGAGAGAGCTTGTCTTGATAGTAAAAGTTAAATTGTCGTTATATTTTGTATCATCTGCCTCTGATTTTTGTCTCGCTCAGGGCGAGGTAGGTCGGGAGATGTACATCATCAAAGCAGGGGAGGTGCAGGTGGTTGGAGGACCTGACGAGAGGACGGTGTTCGCCACCCTCAGAGCAGGATCAGTTTTTGGAGAGATAAGGTGATGAGCTGTTGTGAATTCCTAAACTTTCAAGCTTTATGTGATATGTGGCACAACAAACACATCAAAACATGTGATTTGTTGGTGTATGCATGGGAGAAAACGCTGTTAGCTCAAGCTATAACTCTATTAACCAACTGTTAAATGTTAAAAACTACATTTTTTAACCATAATCTTTTCACATTTTCAGTTTACTTGCAGTTGGCGGAGTCAACAGGCGTACAGCCAATGTGGTCGCTCATGGCTTTGCCAATCTGTTCATCCTGGACAAAAAAGACCTGAATGAGATCCTTGTCCATTACCCTGAGTCTAAGAAACTGCTGCGCAAGAAAGCCAGGTTGAGCATGACTGGCATTGCACTTTATTGTGCTCTGCTTGTCCTCCATCAGTGCAGTATAAACTCAAAAGCTTTTCTGTGTTGTACTTTTACAGCACCTGCCTGTATTTATGTAAATACTACAGCATTTATTAGACTTATTTTTTGTCACTTTTTCTGCTACAGGAAGATGCTTAACAAAGGGAAGAAGCCTGAAGTTAAAGAAGAGGCTAAGGAATCCCCTCAGACGTCAGCAGCACCTCTCAGACCAGAGACTCCCAAACTGCTCAGAGCAGCACTCGAGGCGTCCGAGAAATCATCTAGACTTAAAGGAGTGCTGGCTAAAGTCAGAGAGAAGACCAACAAGTCCAGTATCACATTACAGGTAAACACTGCATCTGAATGTGCAAACCAGGGTGTTCCCATGAGCATGCAGTTGTTTGTGTTTTACTCATTAGTGTATTCGTTCCATTCTGACTGGAGAGTTGTGATAATGCCACATTTATTTGCTCTCACTATAAAAAAAAAATCTAGTGAACTAATTCAAAAATTAGTTTGTCAACTGTTAGTTTAAACTGCATTTTCTGTGAAAATCCTGTGTGAAATCTGAGTGCTGCATGACTTTATTCAAATTTTCCAAAGATACTAAAATTGAGTTGTTAAAGCTAACAGAACTGGAACACTAGCTAAAACCTAAAAAGAGCAAAAGATTAGCTCAAAGTTAAAGAAGCAAAATGCTAAGCTTTGAGTAGCATAAGGCTAGCTAATAAGGTATCACAAAGCTAGCTAAAAGTAGCAAAATGCTAAACGTGTTCAAAGGTTGCAAAAAGCTAAAATTAGCATTAGACAGAGCAAGAATGATAAAGCCCCTGTTGCTTTGTGTGGCCATCTCTTTTGATTCCTTTAAAAAGCAGCTTAAGCCATTTTTATTCAGACAGTTAAATGTTGCACTTACTGTTTATATAATCTGTTCTTAATGTTTTAATCATCTGTTCTTAGTTTTTATCATCTGTTCTTACAGTATTTATCAGCTGTTCTTACAGTTTTTTCAGGTTTTCTCAGTTTTTATCATCTGTTCTTACTGTTATTATCAACTGTTCTTACAGTTTTTATCATCTGTTCTTACTGTTTTTATCAGCTGTTCTTACAGTTTTTTCAGCTTTTCTCAGTTTTTATCAGCTGTTCTTACAGTTTTTCTCAGCTTTTCTCAGCT